CTCGTCCCTGCTGTTCTTACATGACAACGCGCGACCTTATACTGCACAACACATGGTCTCCAAGTTACAAGAGCTGGGGTTGGAAGCTCTCCGTCATCCGCCGTACTCACCAGACCTTGCTCCTAGAGACTTCTACTTTTTCCAGAATTTTTATTACCTTTTGTCGGGAAAAAAATTTAATACACGAGAGGCAGTACAAAGTACAAAGTTTGAAAAATTTGTTGCCTCCCGTCCAGCTTATTTCTAGGTTCCGCAACAAAATATTATCGTGCGCGCAACGAAACGAGCGGGTGTCGGATAGTAAATTATAATCATAAAATTGTTTTAAATGTAAACTTATCTAGGATTCTTATATACACTCATATAAATACACTTCGTTAGCAGCTAATGCTTAAAAAATTACGCTTCATAATTTGTTCGCAAAAACATGATATTACCAATATTACCGTGTAACTGTTGACTGTAAGATGGCTTTAGAATAAAATTTCTAGTGTAATTTGCAGTTACATTATATTTTATGCGCAATTTTATCATTACAAAGTGTTCACTATCCGTAACTAAAACAATAAAACTTAAAAAAAAACTACTACACCTAAGCTGTGCTATACCTTGTTTCAGGGTCATGCGTCCTTTTACTATCTCCATTAAAAAAAATGTGATTTGACTATTTTAAAATACCCAATATGGTTACCAAACAAAAACGATTATTAGTGGTGATACGTTAACTTTAATGTTATCCGTCAGGGGTGACAACGCTACATGTATCTTAATTATTTATTCAAGATATAATAATATGGTCCGCAATGACCAATAACTTTTAGGTAAGCCATGTGTTGATTTTTAAGTACTACGTACAAAAAAGTGTATTAATAAGTATATAAAAAATTAAAATCTTAACATAATGTAATTAGGTTTTAAGGGGAAATATAACCTCAAATGGCTTAGCAAGATCCTCCGTTATGCCGAAAATATTGCAGCATTAATTTTGAAATAAATATATGGTAAAGTTGAGGATTAATGTTAAGTACTATGTTAAACGAAAACACGATTCCGTAAAATTTTCTCGATAGAAAAAAATCCAAAGTTACCTCCAAAATAAACAACAAACCGCTGTTATTCATAAAATACTGTAAATATGATCATGAAACTTTGCATACTAACTGAACTAACTATAAAGCATTGCTTATGTTATTTACTTTTTTTAAAATACCATTATTTTCACTGTAAAAAGAAATTACCTAAACTATCGGCTTCTTGAAGCTTGATTCCTTTGATTGATTGAAGGCGGAGGTTATGTCGCTTACGATCAGAATACACATTACGCAACAGGACGACGTAAAATTAAAATGGGAAATAACCGTAATAAAAATAAGAAGCGACTGGGTTGGCGTTAAGAAACAGGCATAAATATGATAAACCTAATGAAATAAGTGTCTAACGACCTATCTACTAACAGTATTAGTGATTACAAACATAGTATAGCATTAATTAGAATTTGAGCGAAATTAGAATTTGAGCTGACTTACTATGTCTTAAAATTTAAAATGGGAAATAACCGTAATAAAAATAAGAAGCGACTGGCTTGGCGTTAAGAAACAGGCATAAATATGATAAACCTAATGAAATAAGTGTCTAACGACCTATCTACTTACAGTATTAGTGATTACAAACATGTCAGTACATAGCATTAATTAGAATTTGAGCTGACTTACTATGTATATCCTCTTAAAATTTTAAAATTATAAATTTTATAATCTATACGAGATCAACAGCGCCATCTAGGTGCTCTATTTAGCTATGACGTGGTCTTCGGATCGAAGCTAACTATATTTGTAATTAATAAATAATTTATGGGATGGTTATCCATCATAGTTCTAATTTATTCCTATTTATATAAATTATCTCTGAAAATGCAATTTTTTTCATAACAGTAAAAATGGGTATACTGATATTATTAATTCGAAAAAAGTTCTCAACGGAGTAAAGCTTCAATTAAGCACGTCCGAAGGCGATAGGCATCAGCGTATGTACATCGTATGATGAACGTACACAATGTTCCACTCCCTTCATCCGGCCGCTACGCCAATTAGCTTTGCCCCTTAAGGACGCGTTTGCAAATCAACCAAAATTAGGGTGTTTTTCGGTAGATTTTGTGACAAAACTAAACCAAATCAAATATAAGTAAAAACTACCATGTATAGATTGGTTCTTCATCTGCAAATGTCTGTAACTCTTTTGTTGAAAATAGTAGTTTTTTATATTGTAAAAACGAACTTTCGTTGCCATTTTCTACAAAATTAACGATACCGGCTTGTGTTTCGGTACATGTTTTGGTCTATTATCAACATATTTAAAAAATTTAAAAAATACTATAAGATGACAGACATATTCAATTAAAAAACCCTGGGTTTATTTTTTAACAAAATGTCACAAATAGTCGTAAAAAAAATAAAAACTGATGCACATTTTTTCACATATTTTGGTAATACGGATGAATCATAATGTATTGCAATAAGGGCTATTTTATTGTTGGTGCCTGCTTTGATTTTTTGTACAAAGATTTCGATGAAACCACAGTCCGCGCTCGGCCGCCGTCGTGAGTGGACACTGTATCGCCTGTTTGCAGCGGCTCATTCTGAAAAGATCGCTGTACATACACAAAATATTAGAAAAAAAACAAATTGGAAACATAAGTACTTGACAAGTGATAAAATTATTATTTTTATACTCACAGTTTTTATTTAGCTAAAAATAAGTAGGATATATAAACTTACCTGCTACTGCAACTCGTGGACGAGCGGAACTAGGTGTGCCGAGTTTGGGCTCGTTTTGTTGGTTATGATGAGACCTTACCTCTGGACTTGATGGCATGCCCTGAAGGTGTACTTTCGTGACCGCTATTTGAACTTCTTGCAGAGTAAAACTAGGGGTGACGAATTTGGGCTCCGTTTTGTTAGTTATGACGAGTCTATACCTCTGGACTTGATGGAGTGACCTGAAGGTCTAAATCGGTGATTGCAACTGGAACTCCTAGACTGGTAGAACTAGGTGTGCCGAGTTTGGGTTCGTTTTGTTAGTTACGATGAGACCTTACCACCGGACTTGATAGAGTGACCTGAAGGGGTAATTCAGTAACTACTGCTGGAATTTCTGAACGAGTAGAACTAGGTGTGCCGAATTTGGGCTTCGTTTTGTTAGTTATGACGAGTCCATACCTCCGGACTTGATGGAGTGACCTGAAGGTGTAGTTCAGTGATTACAAGTGGAACTCCTAGACTTGTAGAACTAGGTGTGCCGAGTTTGGGTTCGTTTTGTTAGTTACGATGAGACTTTACCACGGGACTTGATGGAGTGACCTGAATGTGTAATTAGGTGGTTACAAATGGAACTCCTAGACTAGTAGAACTAGGTGTGACGAGTTTGGTTTCGTTTTGTTAGTTACGATAAGACCTTACCACCGGACTTGATGGAGTGAAATTCGGCACACCTAGTTCTACTGGTTCAGAAATTCCAGCAGTAGTTACTGAATTACCCCTTCAGGTCACTCCATCAAGTCTGGTGGTAAGGTCTCATCATAACTAACAAAACGAACCCAAACTCGGCACACCTAGTCCTACAAGTCTAGAAGTTCCACTTGTAATCACCGAACTATACCTTCAGGTCACTCCATCATGTCCGGTGGTAAGGTCTCATCATAACCTACAAAACGAACCCAAACTCGGCACACCTAGTTCCACCAGTCTAGGAGTTCCAGTTGCAATCACCGATTTACACCTTCAGGTCACTCCATCAAGTCTGGTGGTAAGGTCTCATCATAACCAACAAAACGGAGCCCAAATTCGGCACACCTAGTTCTACTCGTTCAGAAATTCCAGCAGTAGTTACTGAATTACCCCTTCAGGTCACTCCATCAAGTCTGGTGGTAAGGTCTCATCATAACTAACAAAACGAACCCAAACTCGGCACACCTAGTTCTACTAGTCTAGGAGTTCCACTTGTAATCACCGAATTACACCTTCAGGTCACTCCATCAAGTCCGCAGATAGGTAAGGTCTTATTATAACTGACAAAACCAGTTCAAAGTCCAGAGCTAACATCTCACTACCAGTAGAGGGCTTCCAGTGCCAAGCAGTCTTTGGAGCAGGTATTCATATTTCGTATCGAAGTATATTTCTGAGGTAGGTATAAGAAATGAAAAACAAATTCAATCTTTCAAATTATCAAAATAATTTCATTTGACTACGATTCTCACAGCCAACCGTGCGTACACTAGTGTGTGTGTGACTTTTGTCAATGTAGTAGTGCGATTCTATACCTATCCATTTTGTAAACGCGTCCTTAAACAATTTGCTTTCACTACAGAAGAACTTGACTACATAAATTTCTGCTTTGCTTATCTTAGTCAATAATCCTTTATCAAGATTTGGTAAATGGTTGCATTCAAGACTTAATACACTTAAAAGTCCTATTCAGTTTTGTTAAAAGGAAACTTTGTTACATTAAAGTATTTAAATACAATTAAATGCCCAACAAGGTCTTTTAGAAAACCAATTATGAGTGGTGATGATTTTTTTATCTTCTAATTCGATGTAGAACCAGTTTCAACGAAATAACTCTAAGACTAAGCGAGCTGGAAATGGGACGCCGTCCTGCTTGCTATATTGCACGCCGATCAGTACATTATCTGGACTGGAGATTAAAACAGGATTGAGCTCTCGTAGGTGCATGATGCAGCTTCGAAAAGGTCTATATCCAACTGTGAACTAATGTGTACTGATGATGATTATGTTTTACGAACCATTAAAGAAGACAGCTAACTTTATTATAAGATACAAAAATAAAAAAAAATAAAGAAAACCCCAAGTAAAACATATCATATCCACACTTCAATAATGTATTTGGTATATTTATTTTTTTATTTTAATGTCTAATTAAAAATACACAATTTTAATCAATCTCATCAAAACAGCAGACAACGATCAATTCCCTCGATAGACCTAATGTTAATGGGCTACGGTGATTACTTCCCATTAGGTCATTTATATCACCACAATAATGCCTCCATAAAATGTTTACAGAAATATAATTTTGAACAAATCCGCGACAAGAAGTACATTGAATCAGGTACACAGACGTAATTATTTGTCATGAAACACTTCTACCTGCCTCTGACATTACATCACGCTCATGACTCAGTTCGTGTTGAACAAGTCCTCTTCTACTTGTAATGAGGAATTTTTATGGAGATTGTTTTGTAATTTGCTGGGATATGGTCATGTATATGGTGTAATAGCACCGATATATCAATTATCATATTTAAAAAAAAACAATCTCGAAACGGCGTCCATAATGGCTATAGGAATTTGCTAACTTCGCCAGATATAAAGTTTGCGGTTAAACACTGTTTCATCTGCGCATGATATAATAGCATTAGCTTTATATTAGAACCACCGTTATTTAGAGAATGCATCATCCCATCGAGTCTCAATCGTCTAGTGTCATAAGAAGCAACTGTGTGTTATTGAGGAAAGATTTAATTGCCGCTGAGAGGGGGCTGTATGACCATTTATTTTATACTAGATGTTACATAATATTATGGTCATGCGTACTTCGATCCCCTCTCCGCCGGCAAAATAGAGAAAGTATGGAAAACCGATTTCCAGCAGTAAACTATTAGACGATATAACACTATCAGTCAGTAAAGATTTTGCTGTTTATATTTCATTTTTAAGTTAAAACCTCGAAAATATGGTGGTTTTTCTATTTCACATACTTTTTTAAGTTTTATAGGTTACGAACCAAATTTTTGTTACATCATTTTTGACTATATGATCTTGGATTTCATAAAAGAAAAACACGATAGCATGTAATTTTCTTGATAGAAAAAATTGTAAAGTAGATTCTAATTAGTTACATTTCTCCACGACACTACAATAATTTTACGAATAAGTTCATGGAATTATTTTTGAAGCATAATAAATAATCTTATCTAAGTTCACATAAACCATTTTAATCCATAAAGAAGCTTTGTTAAAAATAATAAAAATGTTTTTGGCGCTTACTTAGTTTATTTCCGAACGCGTGCTCATTTATTTCATAACTTGCGTACGTATTTGAAGTAATTGCGTCACTTTCATTTTATATAGTATCTCCTTAAATATAAAAATCGTCTAATAATAATAATAAAATAATAGAGCCGTGGTAGCTCAGTGGTTAACGCTCGCTGTAAATATAACAGAACGCGAGTAACCCGGGTTCGATCCCCGCCGGCACCAATGAAATTGTTAATTGCAATTTTAAGTGCTGATTTACCACGTGCTCGGCGGTGAAGGAAAACATCGTGAGGAAACCTGAATGTCTGAGGAATAAGAAAAAAAATATTTCGAAGACATGTGAAATTTCATCAACACGCATTTGGGCAGCTCGGCGGACACTTCCTTGCCCTAAACCCTCTCAAAAATGAGGGGAGGCCTGAGCCCAACAATGAGACGTATATAGGCTGTAACTTTACTTTACTTTTTAATAATAATAAAATTAAATATAATATACTGAGCAAAATTAGAACTCGCCCGCCCAAACTTTCCTAAATCTAATTCAGTGACTGATTTTGTGGAGATTTTAAAAGCAATGATTTCTCGTCATGTCTTTCCGTCTGATCACAATGTGCATCATCTTCAAGGCAAAAGTGAATATAATTTTATTAAGCTAAGTCTTTGCGCTTTACTATCTTTGGGTACATATCACTTACCGTCAGATGCAGTCAAGCCCAGGCTATTGAAAGTTAAAAAAGTTAGAGCGCTTTCATAAAATTCTCGTGTTATGAATATAAACATTATACTACCACACCGCGATTTGAGACCAGCACTTTAACGTTGCTATAGTAGTTCGCGCCAAACCTTAAGTAAAGCGCCGAGTTTAGCCATAAAGTTTTATTTAAATAACAATCATGAAGCTTATTAATTAAGTAACCTTAATTCCTTCAACATTGCATTGGTAACAGCGAGATGAACTTTTTTTTATGTCATTGAATAAGGATGACAAACAAGCATACAATCCACCTAATGTTAAATGAATGCTGTGGTCCATAGACATCTACATCTATCATCGATTAAGAATCGAAATCCGTCGTGTTGGAAATAAAAAAATATTCCGTTTCGGAATTCCGATTCGGGATTTCGACCGCAGCAAGTCAATAAATTTAAGATACTTAACACACACGTACGGTAATTTTCCGTACGGAATTTTCTCCGATTTGAGATTCCGTATGACCGCCTGTGCGTCCGGAATCCCACACGGAAAAAAGCCGCTCCGAACGCAATAGATTTTGTATGAGTCGCTTCATACATTCGTAAATTCCGTACGGAACGCGCCCGGCCATCAAGATGTGTTGTTGTCACCCCTAAGGACTAAGATGGAATGCCTCGATTCCAGTAAAAAGGGTCTCCAGCTCTCTACACTCACCACCCAACTCTACACCACCACGCACAGCAGACTACCCAGACGTATTATGGTCGTAATTTTACTTTTTTTTGACGTACAGTAAGTAAAAAGGCTCCAATAGTTAATCTTGTAGCCTGTTAATCATAAACTCTTAATTCATTATTGTATTCAGAAAGTTTTATTAAAACTGGAGTTTACCTTAAGGCCGCCTCTCCGTCCACGCATTGTGGTTGAACAGAACGAATATAAACGAAGAATAAATATAAACGATGCCGATTTTGTAACTTTTTGAAAATGTTATCTATTTAAAAGAATAAAGATTGTTAATTAAACCTAATTTTACTATTTCAATCATATTTTAATGCTTTGTAATTCATGATAATAACTTTGATGCTAACACACGCTTATTTATCAGTGATCTTAACTTCAATATTTGCTCACGTGCACTTTCTATTCAATCAATTTACATAATAGAACGAGATTAAGAAAAACATTTTTTTTATTTTATATACTCTGGTAAAGTGGAAGAGGGAGTTTTTACCATATTTAAATATTTTTGTGTGGAACTCTTAAATTGTCTGTGTTTTCCTATTTAAAATTTTTACATTTACTTATTTTATTAAGACACAGTATTGGATAAGAGAAAAAAAAAATGATTAGTATGTTAATTATTATTGTCTAAACCCCATGTCTAAGACTAATAAATTTATTTTGTACTCTATGAAAAGTTACCGCCTGCAACATAAGCTAGAAGGTCTAAACAATAATCGATAGTCGTTGACGATGAAGAGCCTAGCGAGGCGGGGAAACGGTGCCATTGTTTGAAAGTCCTATCAAGTGTTTGCGCAATCGGAAGCGGTCGGCGGACTATCTGCGCGGAAACGCCACAGAATGCGTCTGAAAAACCAGCGATATTTATTTTTATGACACCTATTACGCAACAGTTTAAAAATAAACTATTATGATTTACCTTCCATAAAATGGTCTACTGCAGATCGCGTCAACAATATTCATCGGTCACTGACTTCAAAGATGTGAAAAAGTCTCACTTTCCTTATAAACACTTTAAAATGTATATAGCTTTTTATTAATCACACAAATTGTTAGTTTTATGGTCTGGCCTGACAATACTTCGTAGTCTACCTCCGATGTTATCCCATTGACGATATTTCGGACTACATTAGGACGATCGGTCATCGTCAACATCACTATGATGCAAATTCTTTTTTAATTTTTCTACTAGATGTTATTTATAAGAGCCAGTAAAAGTCCTGTACACAAGCCTCTTCCGTTATAAAAATGATCTTCCATAATCGCCACACTTGAAATGGTGCTCGCAAACATCTAATATATTTTAAACTGATCCTTGTTACGGAATATTTCTTGTTTGGCGTTAACAGAATTGTAATACCGCCATCTATCCGAAGTATAAAAAAATTCTGACATTTTACATAGTCGCTTAATACAACACGCACATAACTCAATATAATTCTTTGCCTAATTTTCTATAATATACTATTTAAAACTATATGAACATTATCTCTTTAACCTATAACAATAATATCTGGTACGCTTTCACCGAAGTACTTTAACGCCATTGTTGTATTGAGTGAAAGTTAACCGAATCATTAAATATCACAATGGCTTGTGTAATATACGTGATAATAAAATTTGCTACGCGTTTAAATTTTCGTCCCGCAATTTTGAAACTTATTGAAACTGTAATAATATATGTGTTACGGTTCAAACAAAAATGGTGAAAATTTTTGCTTGTATTATTTGTAAACAATAACAGTCCGCCTCTTTGCAAGTTCTGTATTTATATCCTTCTAATGTGGGTATCGCTGTAAAGGATTTTGTTACGCGAAGTAAATCCTAGCATAGCCCCCTCTCTACTCTCTATAACGGCTTTGAACTTACTCAACCGATCAACCAAATAAAACCAAATACCGATGAGAAGAAAGTCTCGCGTGAAGCAGCCCCATACCCACATCGCAAGTTAGAATGACCTCACTAAATAATCCTAATAACCAAGTGCAATTAGCTAAGGATCCTGTTTTATAACCTTTGCGTAACAGCTTACTTAATAATAACCTTATATATAACGCAAGAATATAAAAACATTTCTATAGACTACAAATACAATAACAATATAACTGAAGGCCTGGTAGTGAGGTAGAGGTGGAGCCACGGCTTCAACTTCCGCAAGACCTAAAACTATAATTGTTTGAAGTTTGTACGTGCATCGGTAGTGTATAGCATCTTACCAATACTTCTCCAATCGTTTGTAGATTTTGATCTCTATAAAAGCTTCTGATCTATAAAACTAAATTCTTATTTCGGTTATGATAATTGAGGAGCCATATATCCATAAATGTGGCAAAGTAAAACGAACACAACAGCAATACCATCACATTTATATGACTAAGAGTCAAAATTTGTCTCCGCTTAGAAAGACGACAGTTCAAATTTTGAATATAAGTGGCCCGCCTGTTATTACATTGTGCGGTGAAATATCCCGAGTTCCGACGCTTCTGTATCGGACAAAGGTCCGGTAACCACATCCGCACCCGACATTTGTAACCAACAAATCACATTTAAACGAAAGTTAGATCAATGTGGGTACATTGCAAGTTCCCGTAACAAAAAAATGTGTATAAAATTCTAATGTTTTATACCATATCTTTGACCTTACATGCTGACCGTATTCAGTGGTACATATTAAGTCGAGGACCGTCATTGCAAAACACGTTAGGGAATTAATAAGTGACATAAATATTTTAAGTAGGTACTACCTTATAGTCTTTACATTTTCTTAGAAAACTAGCCTAAATAAACATTAAACATTATAACTGATTGTTTATTCAGGCTAGTTTCAAGTTAGTTCCTTATTGTCAGTGAAAAGTACCTCGGTCGCTCGTCGCTGGTATTTTGTGGCGAGCATGTTTCTTTTTGGTCGAGGCGTAACATTACATACTGCAGCCATATTTATTACGTGTGACTCTACTATGTATGGATTACCCAGATGCTTAGTTTCACACTACTCGCGTTTGGATGGAATGGTCTCTAATGCGGACGTTTTTTTTTTAATAATTTTAAGCTATTGCATAGCTTCTACGCGGGCCTTGAGCGCGGGGACCGAATTCAGAAATTCCGTAACGAAAAAAACCTCCCGCTCCCCCACTCCGACGGGCACGGAGGTGTGGTGTTGAAAGCCGTGCATCGTCTAACGTCGTTTCAGTTCGGCAGACTTCGGCACTCGGCAGACTTCGGCACGGTGTTTGTGTGCGTGCGACTAGTCGTATGCGTGTACACTAGCTGCTAACTGAATGATAAAAATTCCTGAATAACCTACATGTATTGTAAGATATTAAAAATATTTTAAACAATATTAATTTCTCATTTATACAATAAGAGAAAAAAAATTGTTTTCTTATCGGTCACCACGCTCAAAAAGTGTAACTTGATTTAATATCAAAGACTTAACTGCATAAATAAAATAAATAATTAATTATAATTGCATAAGTTGATAAAAAAATGCTATGCAATAGCTTTACCGCGGCAGTCACCGAGTGCCACACGTATTTTTTTATAGGAGAAGGGGGTAAACGAGCATACGGCTCACCTGATGGTAAGTGATCACCGTCGCCCATGAACAGCTGCTACACCAAGGCGATTGCAGATGCGTTGCCTGCCTTTTAAAAACTAGTAGGCTCTTTTATTGAAGGACCTTTCTTGTCTTTTCTTGAAGGTTTATAATTCAAACATTTAATACAATGTTTAATATCATCAGTCTATAAAAATTCGCACAAAGATTTAGGTTACATATTAAGATAACTTATCCTATATATACAATATACATTGCCTCTATTGCATCTTTCCGCCCTAAATGGGCTAAGATATTTGGTGAGGAATTAATTGTTCATTGTTTTTACAACCTTATAAAGAATAAATTTCTGAGTGGTCCCTTAGCGCACAAAATAATTATTAAAGTAAAAAAGTAAAGTTACAGCCTATATACGTCCCACTGCTGGGCTCAGGCCTCCCCTCATTTCTGAGAGGGTTTAGGGCAAGGAATTGTCCGCCGCGCTGCCCAAATGCGTGTTGACGAACTTCACATGTCTTCGAATTTTTTTTCTTATTCCTCAGACATGCAGGTTTCCTCACGATGTTTTCCTTCACCGCCGAGCACGTGGTAAATCAGCACTTAAAATTGCAATTAACAATTTCATTGGTGCCGGCGGGGATCGAACCCGGGTTAGTCGCGTTCTGTTATATTTACAGCGAGCGTTAACCACTGAGCTACCACGGCTCATTATTATTAATTATTCTTATTATTTATTATGAATTATTATTATATATATGTAATTACTTATTAATTATTATTATTATTAATTATATATCAATAATTATTAACGCAACATAATTTCAATATTACACAACCAATTTAATCGTCTACGGAGCACCACTTTGTTGCTTTTTGAATGACTAGACTTTAGTACATTGCGTGGGTAACCGCCGCACTCCTACGTAACGGCTGGCGCCAAGCGTCCACTTATGTATATGCCGACAGAATGAAATGTTCGCCAATTTGTTGGGGTACTAGTCCCAAGTAACGCCGGGAACATGCCTGGACTCATGCCAGTTCAGCTGAAATCATTTGAATTACGCTCTTCATATTCATTCGTCCTTTGATTGAATTTTTCGCTTATAACTAATACTCACCATGAGGGCAACGTAACCAAGGATAACCAAGATTTAAAACAATTAGCAGGGTTTTTATTTGTAACTGGTGTTAATCGTGGTTGGATTCGTTAGAACGTTTGACGTTTGGTGAAATTGTGTAAATGTATTAATAATAATTACAAACCGGCGCCTTTTGTCGAGAATGTTCTATATTTGACGTGTCTTGTTTTAGGTGTGTTCACCAATTTATCGAAAATAGCTCAACCTATTTTGATTATTTGTCTTTTATATTTCCGGGGTATCTTATATAATCTTTAAGGGGAAATATAATCTCAAATGGCTTAGCAAGATCCTTCGTTATGCCGAAAATATTGCAGTATTAATCCAAAGTTACCTCCAAAATAAACAATAAACCGCTGTTATTCATAAAATACTTTAAATAAGATCATGAAACTTTGCATACTAACTGAACTAACTATAAAGCAGTGCTTATGTTATTTACTTTTTTTTAAATACCATTATTTTCAATGTAAAAAGAAATTACCTACATATTTACATTACATTACATTTTAACATTTGTAGACACATCAATTAAAAATAGTTAAACAAAATTAAAAAAGGAACAATTTGATGGATATAAATATTAAAAGTATGTAATACTAAATTACAGTAAAAAATAAATAAATAAACGCTCCTCATTTTGTATGTTGAAGCACGTTGGGCAAGCGGACCTCACTCAGCTTATGCATTCGCCGAAAAAACAGCACTGGTTTTCCGTGGGCCCCCACGGATGATAACGTTCCGTAAGGGTGGGAAAATAGGGCGTGAACTTTTCAATGTTACTATTTATTCGACACAACCTATGTTCAGCAGTGGACTTGTGAAGGGCTGTAATGGTAGTGATGATGATGATTTAGACGACATTCTAGTTGTTACCTTGAACTACTGATATTTTTAGTCGATACAAAAGAGTGAAATAATTAAACATAAAAGTTTAATTATATTAATATCTTATTCAAAGTTACAAAATATTTTATCTAGGCTACAAGGAATTAATTATTATATAATAAACGGATTTGCGGCGTGATTACCGCCGGCAAACGATTACCAACAGATTTACACGACTGCGCTGAAGTTCTATCTGAAACGTGATTAACAATTAATATGCTATGATGATATTATCAGAGTCTTTAGTATTATTTCATAAGTCTCTGTTTGCGTTTTTTTAGTCCTTTTCATGTTTAATTAGAATTATGATCATTTTTACAACACTTATAATAGGCTGGTTGACAAACTAGCACCTAATAGTAAGTGGGTACTGTGCAACACATTGATAGCTACTTCTACTTTATTTATCATCATGAGCCCGTAAAATTTCACTGCTGACCATAGGTTTCTCCAAATTTTAAGAGGATATGCCTTGATCACATTACCAGTCATTTCACACCTTAGACGCGGCTTTCCGTCGCCGGGCTGGATATTTTACGCTTGACCTAAATGATATGGTTATATTGTATTAGATCACCATCATCTATCAGAGGCAAAACATCTTTTAGTACATTCTGTAGTCGTCTCTACCGATAGCACGAACGAAGTCTAGCATGTTTTCGTCACTTATCATACGAAACAGCAGCATTGAACTGCTGATATTGTCAGAGCCTGATCTCTAGCCGATTTATTTATGCTGCTTTTGTAATATGGCTGCAGCGTGGTGCTACTTTGTACAAAATCTATCCGAAACAATGATATATTTCTAGTATTTTTCATAGTTGCCTCTCTCAAGAGGCAAATCATTATTCCACGGGTCAAAATCGGATAATCGATTGTCTTACGTCGCTTCAGCACGATGACATCTGCCAAGTGATTATAGCTAATCCTCCTTCTCTGTCTCCACCACGGCGAAGTTTTATGGTTTGATGAATAAGCAGAAGAGTTATTGTATGAGAAAGTGGAGATATTTTTATATGAAAATTGATTAATTTCAATAATCAATCACTCGGCTTGATAGTAACGTGATGACGTGAGAATTCTATGAATTGGCTTTGTAATAAAATTATTTAAATTTCCTTACGTCGATGACTCCTACTTAGGAAATTATCTAATTTATGTTCAATGAATAGAAATGCTTAAATGTAATAAACAACTTATCACATTGTTAAAAATGGAATGTTTTCACATAATTTTAATTTTACATTTTACGTTTACCTATCATTTTCGATTACTTATGATATTTTTCTTTGTTTCAGGATATTATCAGCCCGCCGGACCATTGATTAAAGAAACTGGTGCTGATGCGGACAGAACTTTGGGCAGATATCATCCTCCACCACATTACCATCCTCCGCATCCTTCTGTAAGTATTATGTATTATTATTATTATTATACATAAATATGACTCACTTGAGACTATAGTGTTTTAACATTCTGAACGTGTTTACAACTACAACGGATATTGCCTACAATCAACAATAACACGACTTAATCGAATAATCATAATAATAAATAGAATCGAAAACGACTATGGTGCTGAAACGTTAAAAGTAAGTTTTTTTGTATAACAGACACCTTTATCTATCTTCGCTTAAAAACCAAATTTAGATGCGTTGCCACTCTTGAGGACTAAGATAGAATGAATCGTTACCAGTAAAATGGACCTGTGGACACACACTGCTAGGTGTAGGCAAAAATGCTTTAATGCCTGAAATATCATAGTTTATTCATATACTGTTTGTTATAAAGTGTTAAAATATTGCATATGATTGTTTATAACTAAACATTATATTCTCTTATTGAAACTTTGAAGCGTTTATGTTTATTGTAAAGTAATTTTTACAAGAAAGTCGTTTGATTATTTCCGCAGGTGCTACAACAATATGGCCCACCGTACTATCCAGCGGAGTTGTGCTACGGTCGGTACTACAGAGCTCCAGGGCCCTATCACATCCCGCCACCACAACCCGATGCACAGGTATTTAAGACTAATCTACAATTAATTCTATACAGATAATTATACCCACGGAAATATACCTAGACAAAAAAGAACAAAAATACGAATAAAATAATTGGTAATCTTTCGACGTTTTTTGTGACACAACTATCTTTTCTTCAATTTCTTGGACAATTTTACGACATATTTTTTATATTTGTGTTAAAATGATATACAATACATACACATTTGTCATGTCCAAATTTCCCTTGAACTGATTTACCAAAGAAAAATTTAATTTTACGTAAAAATAAATCACGCTATTTATAATTATTACCGTACAGTAAGCAAATTAAACAGTTTGATGATTGAAATTTAAAAAAAAAATATTAAATAAAAATGAGGGTAGTTACGCACAAAATTATCGTTTATTGTATCTTTCATTTACGATGTAATAACGTTTATTGTTTATTTGATTTCCAGATGGTTGGAGTGGGAAGCGATCCGTATCCTCCACCACAATACTACGGAACCCCACCTTGTTATCAACATTCACCACAAAGGATACCATACGTCGGTATGTAAAATGTATAATTAATTACGTTGTAATTTTGTTTTGCGGTCATACAACTAGTTTCATGAGACAAAATATGAAATTAAAATGTATTTAGAAACTGTTGTTTATATAAGACCTGCATGGAATTGCACTTCAGAAAGCTGCAATATATTATGCTTATTATTAAAAAGTAGGACGTACGAAGATGAATTGTTATTGCTATTTGCTAATAATAATTTCAATGGTAATGGTAGACAACCTCAAACAAGGAAAGCTCTAGATACGTTGTCATATCTCAGAATTAAGATGGAATGTCCCACATCTTGTAATTGTACTGCTCTCTATACACTTCAGACCGGAACACCACAGGTGGGCACTGTTATTGTGTTGCAGAAATATGTGAAAGGTACCCAGACGAACTACTAGGCAGATAGAAAAAGAAGGAATTCTCCTCATCTGCCACTACATAGTTTTAAGGATATTAATAGTTACTTTGCAACCATCCGCTGAATAAAATCAAATGATGTGTCTTACCTAGTTTGAAGAGCACCTCCCGCCGTATCGTCGATGGTGTGCCTTTCCTGGAATAGTGGTGTTGAGAGTAGTGGTGCTGGGATTAGTGGTGACGGGATTAGTGCACGCAATTGAGGGAGGGCGGGAGGTGCTCTTCAAACTAGGTAAGACACATCATTTGATTTTATTCAGCGGATGGTTGCAAAGTAACTATTAATATCTTTATTATAATGGATTTCTGCAAAGTAACGCCTGATTCTATCAGTTCTACTACATAGTTTGCCTATTTAACAAAAATGAATAATGTGCCTGTCGACGACCCTATCTCATTTGACTGTGTACAACTGTTATGTCGGCACCTATTGTAGCCTTCTCTCCACCGTCAACGAAACAGACGTACGCCATTTTACCCCCTTTTAAAAAAAGTCTTTTTTAAATAGAATAATGGTGATAAACGAGCACTCAATCCATGTGATGATAAGTGAATCCTGTGGCCCATAGATATCTACATTCATCCTCGGTTAAGAATCAAATTGCAAATGTGTTGAGACCTCTGATGACTAAGATGGAATGTCTCGTTTCCAATAAAAAAAATTCCGGTTCTCTACACTCACCAAACGAAACAGGAGTATTAAGCTGCGTAAAATAGCAGTGAGAGCGTGGTCCCTCCCCGTTGAACCGAGCCATTTGTGCTACAACCATAATAATATAGCTGCAGCATGACTCTTCCACGTAGTGTATTTTGTATTACTGAACGACTGCCTCATTGGTTTATATAGCGGTCGTTATCCGCCATTGCTAATCAAAATTTCGAATATAGATGAGTCGGTCGGGCCAAAGTCGTTTATTGTATTTTTGCTGTCAAGAAATTCTTAGTAGCAGTGCGGAGTCGGGAAGTTGTCGGTGTTTCACCACCGTACCTGGGAAAGCACGTAAAGCCTTTGGTCCTGATCTCTTTCCAGTCCACCGGACTATGAGAGTGAGAGAATAGAGAATGCGCATACATTCGACCACTCTAATTGTGTTCAGCGCAGATGGCTAGTCCCCGGAGACAGGCTGCCGTGACTGAAATTCGGTCTGGAGAACATTAATTATTATTATTTTTACTCAAGAAACTTGGTGTGTGTTGTGTTTCAGAATACCGCGGATGCCCGTGCCCATTAAACGCGTGTCCAAAAAACGTCCATATTGGGCCCGCTACTGGTAAAGCCCCAGCCGGTGGCGGCCCCGCCGACATCCACGCACTCGCGCCGCCCGGGGGCGCCTTCCGCGCGAAGGTGCGGGCCTGCGCGCTCGACTCCGCCGCCGACACGCACGGCAGCGGCAAGGTACGCGCCCCTTCTTACAATTTACAACCCAACACTACATTCTTTTCCTTTTTAACTGTCTTCAAAAAAGATGAGGTTCTCAATATGAGTGTATGTTTTTTTTTGTATGTATGTTACGCGATATCTTCGCACCAATGTGTGAACCAATTTGATGATTCTTTTTTAATAAATAGGTTATACTTCAGGGGTGGGTCCCATATAAATTTGGAGAAAAAAAATTCCACCTCTAAGGTTAGCATATAAATAACTTCTTTTTTAGCAATTTGTTAGCTGTTTTTACTTTTTGTTAAAAGCCGTATAATTATTATTGTTTTATATTTTGCTTTTTTGAAGTTAATAGTTCTTTAGAATTTAAATTTTTGTGATTTGAAACTTGATGAAACGAAAAAGCGACCCTAAAAAGAGACAAATGTTTGTCTCTTTACGTTTTGTATATGTATACATCTATAAGATCTAACCTATAACAAAGAGTGTATGTTTTTTTTTTCTGAAGTTATCTTCTTATTTTTTTGCAGTGTGAGAGAAAGAGATAGAATATTATATTAAATTAGTCGTGTATAGGCCAAATAGCGTCTGTTTTACGTACCACATTGAGAGTCAATCAATTTTTGTTTAATAAAATAAATTTACCTATAGAATGAAGAAGATGGCGTTATTAAAAAGCAGTTTTATTCGAAAGAAAATATTCTTTTTGTTTATTACATTAAAATTTAGGCCTTATGTCTAAAATGATATAACATCTTTTGTTTGCTATAAAATTAAACTTTTATTTTATATTTTATGCTACACTTTTGGATAAAAACTATCATATTAAAAACCATTTGCCGTGAAATATTTTAATTTACATTTAATTTCATTTGAAGGGGTCACTTCTACCGCGTGTGAGCTGCTCATGTGTTTATTTTTTCTTTATTGATCATAGAACCAACGGCAGGCTATAAATTTGTTTTCCTTTTTTTTATTTATTGACCATAGAACTAACGCGACTTATAAATATATACAGTAATTCTTAAAAATTACTTAATGCCAATAACAGGTTTCATACTTTGTATCTTCTACTTTAATTCTAGATAGCTTTTTATAGAATAAGGGTGACAATCTGGCACATAGTCCTCCTGATGGTAAATAGATGCTAAGGCGGTATTGAGTATCAAAATGAAGAAAGCATGTCACCGCTGAGGACTTCCAGTAAAAAGAGTCTCACGGTTCCTTGTATTCAAGAAACGTTTTATTCCTATCCCCACCCGTTTTTAAGACACTTCATAAAAGAAGGTTCGCAACTTGACTGTATATACTGTTTTACGTATATTCTGCCATAACTTCTTTGCTTATTAACCGATTTAAATGGGTTTTTAAAAAAATAAAATTGGTTTCACTTCAGAGGTGCTGCCTTGAAGGGCTACCAAGGGTAACAATATAGGGGATAAAGATTTTATAGAAGTATTGAGACGATATTCTGAAACTTTTACCAGTTTATATTGACAGGATGTCGCTATCAATCATATTATTACATTTGTCGCATAGTACTTGTTTGGACTGGAGGAATCACTGGTCACAGGCAGGAAGACAAAGTCAATGATATAAATTCATAAAAAGGAGATTAAAATAGAATAAATACGTCATAAAATGTGTCAGTTTAATTCGATAGTAATATTCATAATCATAACACAAACATAAAATAATAAAATAATCAATGTTCCATACAGAAATAGCTTGTTACAAAAATGGTTTCGAAACTAGTTATGCAGAAGTTTCCAAAGATAATCGTGTCAAGTCCACTGTTGTAAAAAAATACCTCCACCCTCTGCCTTGTCGCTTTTTACTAACCTTCATGAACTATTTATGATTGAGGGAAATCCCAAGTCATATCGCATCGCATCCGTCACCCTAAGACGAGAAGTTAGAAAAGTTATTTGCCTATAATTTCACCGGCACCCACTCACTTTTTAAACTGGAACAAAGCAATAAAAATGTATAACGGACGATTAACTTGGCGTGAGCACTATTTTGTAGGTTAACGTAATATGATTTAAAATTTAAATAACAAAAAGAAAACATGGAGTACATAAGTGAGAAGTGTAAAAGACATCTAAGTAAGTTAATCTGCTTTCGTCCCGGAGGAATTAAAGCAATTTTAAGTTCTTACTTTTCGCCCATGCACCTTTCCACACAAATGTCACGCGCCCTCCTGTGCGCTCTCCATAGGAGATACTAAATCCCCCCCTCCCCCGGTATTAGGGATAAAAACGTCACGAGCAAAAACACTCTCCAAGGATGAAGACGGAAAGCCTAACAGCCTCTAATTAAGCTGGCTCTCTAATACTCTTTTGTACTCTTCTTCCCAGGACAGAGGTTTTTTCCGAACCAGTGGTAAATAAAAAAGTGACTTTCAATAAGTACTACGCAATATTCTGTATTGAATAAACATCATTCATTTCATTTCTCTTCATTGATTAAGACTGGACACAGCAGTGTGTATTTAGTAATAGGTAAATAATTATGTCTCGATTTAATCGACTTCTATGTCAGATTTAATAAGTTATCATAGTAATTATGCGTTGAAAACTGACAACCAACAGTCTATTGATGCACGTTGTTCAGGGGCGTGCTTTGTAAAAACGTTTGAAACATATCTTTGCTCGGCAGTAAAAATGTAAGAAAATCTTACCCACCTATAAGTACGATAGTAGTAGTCATATACCCCTATTTTGAACGTAATAAGCTTTACAGCTTTTATTAAAGTATTAAAAATTACAGGATCCGCCGCTTGAACCAGAGCCGCCAGCTGCAGCTGATGCGCCGCATCCTTGTTCACTGCCAGCCATCGGCGGCGCCTCGCCTAAGCGTGAACTTTACGATGTTCGCGAAAACTTACGCCTCACAGGAGATGTCCCTGGACCCGCAGAAGCCTTGGGGCCCCCTTCACCGGCCAGGGGATCTGCGGGAGCATGTGCTCCCCAGCCTCCCCCTATCGCCCCACGACGAGCTAGACTCGGAAAAGCAATGGCAAGAAGGACCCTTGCAGGTGACGACACAGGTCTACTTCTATCTGCACCACAACCATCTCTAGCGCCACACAGCGATGCCGATGATGATGTTCTCGCTATTTCTCCTCCAATATGCGCACCAATTGATTTATCTTCTTCTGATGAACGGTCGACCCCGTTAGTTGATGTTAAAAAAGAAAATGAAGGTCCTACTTCATACACGACACCCCGAAAAGCTGATGCGCAAGCTTTAAGAGAGCATAACAGTGCTACAACCATCCCCGATGTACCCGATGCTACAGATACTAATAAAGCTGTGAAACGAAGGTACTCGAAGCCAAAACTAGAAATTGACATGAAAGATATACAACTTGATGAAAGCTGTAAAACTAATGGAATTGGTGAACATGTCAAGCTACAGAAACGGAGAAAAGTGTCGGGAGATCAAGCTGATAACGTTAGGATAGAAACAGTAACAATCGAGCCTAAAAGAAAAACAACACCTAGTACTAAGAGGGCCCCTCGAACACCGCCCGTAGAGAAAAAGTTACTAAAACGTAAATTAGAAAACTCTACCAACGGCCCTAAAGCTAAAAAAGCGTTAATTGAAACAATCGCTGATGAAGATCCACGACTTAAAAATGTTGCAGCAGTCGCCGATGAGCCATGTATTAAAATACCAAAAACCAAAAGTGCGTTACTTCTTGATAATTTAATTAGGAAAAATAGTATTGATGGTAAAGGCTTCTCGCCAGATACAGAATTAAACCCAGCTGAACTATTTCTTTTACCAAACGAAAACATTACACAGAATTGTTCTAAGAAAACCTTAAATATCAATAATAACATCGTTGATAATAATTCTACCTGTAACGGAGTACGACCTAAAACAATAGCTGCTGTAAGTCAACTTATAGAAAAGAAACTTGCATTTAAGAACGCTTGCAAGATAGATTCAAAAATCACGCACAATATTAAATCAGTATTAAAATCACCCACCGATAAAGCAGACTTCAAAGAAGATTGCACCGGTAAAATGCTGCCTAGCGGCGATATAAATCAAGATAGTGCAAACACTTTCTCAGAAAAATGTGAACTCAAAACTGTTGATGATAAATATGAACCTCTAAAAGACAGTGTTAGTGATAATAAAAGCAGTAATGTTTCAAAGGATATTACAAAACCTATTAAAATGTCTAAAGCAACTAAAGTTAAATCGGGGTTGACTCAAATTGATCCAAGTCTCAAGTGTGATAAAACAAATACTATCGAAGAATCTCAGTGTAAAGCCAGTAAATTACAACATTTAGAAATAGGAATGAATGATCTCGAGGAAACCGACAGTAATACAGACAAAATATCTTCAAATAAAGCTAAACCGTTAACTGAAAAAGTCAACGGTGATCTTAAAAGCAAAAATGTTGAGAAAGTTGTTAAGTTGCTTGTCTCAAAGAAGCAAGCAAAAAAAATTGATGAACCATCTATAGACCAAAGTCAAACGGAAATGGTTGAAGATAAAATGACAGAGAAAGGAAAAGGAGAAAAAATGGGGAAGCGTTGTAAATTGGGAGTCGATAAAGAGTCTAAAGGAAAAAGCGTGGAAAAATTAGCTAAGTTACTTGTATCAAAGAAGACTGCGTTAAAAACTGATGAAGCGACGTTAGTGGTGGAGGATGCGTGTGCGTCACCAACGCCTAGTTTAGTAGGGTCGACTAATTTAGATAGTACGGGGAGCGGAGTCAATGCTGGCGGTGGTGTAAGTGGATCAGGAGTTGGTGTAAAACGAGCAAGGCGTCGTCGGAGCGGGGTGCGAAGGGCTAGGCGTCCGCCTGCACCTTTGGCGCCACCTACCTTACAGCCACGCGCTCCTCCACGGTGGAGTAACGGCTGGAATTGGGACGGCGAGCATTATGTATCCAAAGTCTACCTCAATGTGAGTACATACATACTTAAGAAGTACATAATTACCAAAACAAAAACTAGCCTACCATATATTTTGCTCGTCTTTTTTATATAATATTGGCATCACGAAGTTATTTTTGCCTTGTGGTGGCTGCGTGGAAAATTTGTTATCCCAATTCACCCCGTGGGTGTCATAAGAGCAACTATGGGATATGCCAAAAAGTTCTTTTGGTGTCTCCTAGATGACGGCATAACAACCTCGTTTATGCCAGGCGTAAAATACTAAGACCGGCGACGGAAAGCAGCGCTATAGGTGCGGCATGTTTGATATTGCGATTATTAATCCACCTTCTGGGCGTGACGATCAAGATAAAACCTCCCTGCAATGGAAGAGGCTCATGTCCTACAGACCTGCAGTAGATTTTTTTCTTTCCACAAAATTTGTTAATTGAAGTTTGCCTGTTGTTTGTAGCAACATACATATTGCACGTATGTTGCTACAATCAACGGTCATGAACTTGTAAAATATTTTTTCTTTCTTTTTTTATTTTATATTCTTTTCCATTCACTAATTATGTAGTTTGATTAAATTTCATAGCTTTAACTGTTCAAAACCATTACATTGCAAAAAATAATACATTTATTTGTTCCAAAATACAATAACTAATAGGAAAACTGATTATAATATCGACTAGTAAAAATACGTATCACTGTGTTGCTGTCTGTAGATCAATGACAAGCAAAGCTTGTGGGAACATGCTTACTCGTAGAATCGTGTTTTAAGTATATTTCATGTGCAAAATGTATGTATATTGATTTGATATTAGAAAAAATATATGTGAATGTGCATCCTAATATGAGTTTTTCCACATAAAAGCATTTGCACTCGCTGACAAGTGTACTTGTGTGGAGTGTGCGTGTATGTGATTGTGCGGTGGTGGTGCGTAGAACGACTCGCGGCTGGACCGCACGGCGCGATGCTGGGCGCGCATGTGGCACGCGAGCGGCGACCGCGTGGCGCGCGGTGATTGCGTGCTGCTGCGCGCCTCGCTCGCGCGTGCGCAGCCCTTCGTCGCGCGCGTCGCCAGCCTCTGGGAGAACCCCGACGACGGTCAGTCCACACTCCGCACGCACGCTTGCACACACCCGCACGCATTCCGCACTCACACGCACACATCAACGCATACGCACGCACACACAAACGCATACGCACGTAACTACTACACAGTTTGCATATTGATTTTTTTATTTGAGAAATGCTTAACGCCTAATTTTTTGACCAAGTCCGTTTCGGGCAGAGTTTAAACAAGACTTAGTTTCAAAAATTCTATTGTTAAATTTATGCAATCATACACAATACGTCAATATATAATTTGTTATATCCTCGTTGCATTCCTTCGCTTATTGCCAGACTGGCCTGTTACCAGTTTGTTTCGATATGCAGTTGTAGTATGTAAGTCGACGTGTTGTGTTGTGCAGGCGAGATGATGGTGTCGCTGGTGTGGTACTACCGGCCCGAGCACACGGCTCGCGGACGTGCGGCGGGCGACGCGCCCGACGAGGTGTTCGCGTCGCGCCACCGCGACGCTAACTCCGTCGCCTGCATCGAGGACAAGTGCTACGTGCTCACCTTCAACGAGTACTGCCGGTAACCACTCGCCGCTCTATACATAGACGCGCCCGACGAGGTGTTCGCGTCACACCACCGCGACGCCTACTCCGTCGCCTGCATCGAGGACAAGTGCTACGTGCTCACCTTCAACGAGTACTGCCGGTAACCACTCGTTGTTCTATACATAGACGCGCTCGACGGGGTGTTCGCGTCGCGCCACCGCGACGCCAACTCCGTCGCCTGCATCGAGGACAAGTGCAACGTGCTCACCTTCAACGAGTACTGCCGGTAACCTCTCGCCGTTCTATACATAGACGCGCCCGACGAGGTGTTCGCGTCACGCCACCGCGACGCCTACTCCGTCGCCTGCATCGAGGACAAGTGCTACGTGCTCACCTTCAACGAGTACTGCCGGTAACCACTCGTTGTTCTATACATAGACGCGCTCGACGGGGTGTTCGCGTCGCGCCACCGCGACGCCAACTCCGTCGCCTGCATCGAGGACAAGTGCTACGTGCTCACCTTCAACGAGTACTGCCGGTAACCTCTCGCCGTTCTATACATAGACGCGCCCGACGAGGTGTTCGCGTCACGCCACCGCGACGCCTACTCCGTCGCCTGCATCGAGGACAAGTGCTACGTGCTCATCTTCAACGAGTACTGCCGGTAACCACTCGTTGTTCTATATATAGACGCGCTCGACGAGGTGTTCGCGTCGCGCCACCGCGACGCCAACTCCGTCGCCTGCATCGAGGACAAGTGCTACGTGCTCACCTTCAACGAGTACTGCCGGTAACCACTCGCCGCTCTATACATAGACGCGCTCGACGAGACGTTCGCGTTGCGCCACCGCGACGCTAACTCGTCGCGTGCATCGAGGACAAGTGCCACGTGCGCACCTTTCAACAGCTCTTCACTTTGGCCAACATATTGGCGAATGTTCTCGCCAATACTAATGGCCATCATGTATAGCGGGTGTTTGTGCTTACCTTACTTTTACTTAACTTACCTGGTATGTATTGCAATGATGCCCACAAGTTGGCGCGAGATCCGTATGATGTCGGTTTTTTACAAAAGATCAAAGAATTGTGGCAGAGTTTGGCCGCCGCATCCACAGTCCACAAGTTGGGCGCGCGTTTAGTTTGCTACGAGCTTCCAGCGTGATTGCACGCATCTGATTTAAATTTTATATTCACGTTTCCTAGTGTCTACAAAATAGCAATATCAATGGCCAATGAAGAACCTTTTCGCTTTATACTTGTAGAACTCTACTAAACTAAAAATTGTATGTAAAACTATGAAATAAAAATCACAAAATAAAAATTCTAATAAAAATAAATTTAAATAATAATTTTACACATTCACGTATTAGTGGTATGCTGTGAATAAATAAACCGCAGCAGCTGTTAGCACCTCAATATCCATTTTAATAAATTCGTCCGCATATTCTACCTTCCAACGTGTGGACGCCATCACAAACTCTTGCCTAATATCTTTGCCACTATTTGGCCAACGTGAAGCGAATAGCGGAGCGACATCTGCAGGCATGACACGTCAAAATCCAATAGATTACGAACATTAAAATAATATTGTAAACATAAAATAATATTGTATGCATGTAAGTAGTAATGTAAATGTATATGTATGTGTATTGTTTATTTCATTATATTATAAATTTGTATTTTTTCCTTAAACCTTTAATTTTTTTTTATTGCAGATTGATTGGGGTCCGCGTTTTGTACATTTCTTTTTGTGTGCAAATAAAGCTTAAATACTAAATAAATAAACATTAACTGATGGACCAATCACGTGAAAAAATGGCCACAGTGTGGCGTGCAACTCGTGCCGCTATAAATACCTTTCTCAACAGCCCTAGCAGGCTGTCGCTAAGATACGCCACCGTGACACCGTGACGTCCGTTATTTAGGTCGGACAAATACTGTGTGCCCAGATTTAATGCGGCCAGTAAGCTTTCGGGCTTAAGAGGTCACTGCTCGACTTTCTTAACTCCATCCACTAAGACATGGCACATTGATGTCAACTCCGTTATTTACATTAGAGACAAGTAATATAATAAAGTTAGTAATGGTATTACCGTTTACGTTACTGCCTATTGAAGTCCACTGCTGAAAATATGCCTCCCTTATAGATTGTTGTCTACGAGACGATATAGGGCAGTTTATACTACTAGCAGGTAGTGTCGTAGCTATGTAACCAAGGACCCGAGGGCAAAAATGAAATTGGGGCCTTATTTAAACTAAACTAAATTCTTTAAAGGTGCAAAACTACCTCATCAACAGCTCCTCATCGCCCACCGCAGGGTACAATAAAGTAAAGCTACTTACTACTATTATCTGTAAAGCAGCAGATAATATTTAATCGTACCTCCTAATAATATAATAAGTGAAAGTTGTTTGTTTGTACGTAAAAACTACGTGGATAAAATTTTGCACACAGATAGACCTTGCCTTAGGTAGGACATGGAAACTTTCATCCTGACAAAAAGATCCCGTGTGATATTCAATGTTCTTCCACCAGGCTAAAGAAGTCGCAGGCAAAATCTAGTAGAAAATAAACATTGACGAATTAAATACTGAGGGGAGAAGCGAAATTTCGCCCACGACTAAAACTACTCGCGGCGAGCAGATAAGCAGACTTCTTACTTTGCTTACGCGGATTCCAGATGTAGAAGATTATGCACCTTCCCTTTAGGAACGTTCTTCCAGACGGACATCAGATCTCCGTCGATCGTCGGTCTCTTGGCTCATTGGACCATTTTCTGATCCTGAGTGTTCTGTCGCTATGTAGTACTTCAGGATATGGACCTCTTTATTCTATCATATGTGTGTGTGCGCCCATTGAAGGTAGATCCCCGCCATGGATAGGTTGCCCGTGTAAAATTGCATTACGCTATAAACAGGAGTGCTACGAGCCCTGTGTTGACGCGTCGATGTCCTGAGATGTAGACACCAGCGCTCTTGAAAAGAAGCATAATTACGCCTCCGAAAAAACTCCTCGAGAAAACCGTTATTTTAGCCTCGATTTTTGCGTCTTACTCGACACTGGACTACGAGGAAAATACAGCTTGGCTAATCCCACGGCATGAATGATCCCTAAAAAATGCGACCACTGAGACACATGTTGAATGTGTCCCGAAATCATAGAAGACAGCATTAGTGCACCCGATGCCTAAAAAAGGCGACCGCTCATATCTGTCTATCATTATCACCTCCTTGTTCTCCAAAGTAATGCAATCCATTATAAAGTGCCAGCTCATGAGGTACCTTAAGAACCACCAGCTGAATACTGACTGCCATAGCCAGTACGGTTTCTGTCGGAATTGTTCATTTGGTGATCTGGCTGGCTTTACTTATAGATGGACGGAAGCAGTAGTGTACAAGAGTGAGAGGCCCTGGCCATTCATTTGGACATGGGTTTGGCTCAAAGCGCTTCTTTCGAAGCTTCTAACTTGGGCTTCCCAAGAAATTGTACAATTGAATCACCAGTATTCTTGCGGGTCGGAGCATCAACGTCTTAGTAGACGGTGCATGCTCTAATTAAACTATATTAATGCTGGTGTTCCAAAAGGCTACGTGCTATCAACACATATACATTGCTATACTTTGCAAACCAGTAACACTCATATACAGACGACAGCACTGGTTGTCTGGTGCTTTTTACACCGGCCTTGCCTATGTTTCTCGGGAAAACGTCGCTGAGTACCGGAACAAATGTGTGCCTGAAGTCGAGTCTTTGTTGAACAAAGTTTCGGATTGGGGCGACTAAATTTAGTCCAGCTCAAATCCACGCCCCAGAAAACACAAGTTTCCTCGTTTACCGCTAAAAAGAACCCCTTTGCCGTATAACCTTAATTGTAGGGCACTTCCTTAGTTGCCTCAGCCAGTATCGGAGCCCTCAGCATCGATATATCGAATGGCGTGCAGGTGCAGTTTCGTGTTCACTTGGAAAGGAAGGCTAACTTGGCCTCTAGATAGCTTAACGTGCTGAGCAGAGCGGGATAGTATTCCATTCCATCCCACTTGTAACATTACCAGGCGCAAGTCAAGTCATATATTTTTTAATAAATAAACGGCATTACGGTGCTATGTTCAGTTGTGGACTTAAAAATATTTACCGAACACAACGGTATACAGGGTTATTTTGCAATTTACACTCAAATTTTCAGAGAAGGTTCAAAATAAGTAATATAAACGAATGGTGAAGAAAATTTAATTAAAAAAATTTCAAACATTCTGTCGTTTTTGTCTTTTAAATTCATAATGCGTGGTAATACATTATTTTAACTGATTGTCATTCATAAATATCTAACGTCTACTATTTTACTACGCACGCACATATTCGTAAGTTACTTAGTCGTAAGTTTAACGTTGTGAATTGAATTACACACAGATAGACGGAAATCATATTCAATTTGGGATAGTTACAAATAAAAGTAGAAGCCTTGTTTACTCGTATTTACAAAAACTGCAATAACGATGTGTCGTTATTTATATATTTGAACTTGAAAATAAAATTTGGATAATCTTACGTCAACGTCTTACGTTATCGTACTTTTATTTACAGATACAGGAAACGGCTAAAAGCAGCAGAAGAAGGCATCAAGATCGCACCATCTATAGTGCCACCGATGCCCGCCAGCGAAGTGACCCCAGCGTTGGCGCCAAACGACACGAAGCTACCACCATCCGTATCGCCGGAACTCGTTCTCTTCTGTCGAAAAATATACGATTTCAGGTCTAAGAAAATACACGTTCCCAACAAATGAAGGTTGTCAGCCAAACAAATCTGGATGCTGATGTTACGCCGAGTCCGTTACAACTCGGCGAATGCGAGATTTAATAAACATTTAATCGATTTAGAGGAGTGAAAACCAAAGCTGCTTATCGTGTTCAACTCTTTATTTGTTGACGGTACATGCTTCGTGGTAGGTAACCAGCCTTTAAGTTCCTCGACTGTGTCGTTTGGTCCATTGCAATGTATGGACTGTATTACTTAATCAATAATAGTGTCACCACTCCCGATTCCCCAAATTAGTACAAATACACGAGTAGATTGTGACCCAGTGGTATATTTGAGCTACTTGTAACAATATTTGTACGTAATAGCCGATTGAAACTTTTTATGTTGCCTGTATAGTGATTTGTCGTAGATAATATTTACTGTATTGTTAATTTGCCGAATTGATTTTGTCTAAAGGGTAATGTCGATTATCAATAAATGATTTTTATCAAGGATGCCTTTTATAAATTATAAGTAGACGTAAGAATCATGAAATGCATAATGTGGATAGAAATATGTTTTCTGTTTAGCTTTTGAGGTAATCTAAGTCCTATTTATTCTCGATTCGGTAGACATGTGAATCGTGTGTGCTAGGGGACTTATTTTGCGTGACTGAAACTGTAGTACATTTGGCTACATTGACACTAGTAAGCATTTATTTGATTACGATTCCTCCGTTACACTGTTATTGTAGAGTCTGTAATAAATTATTAATTTTATTTTTTTAAGATTATTGCAAGTAAGAGGTTTGCTGTATTTGATTTTAGCATTTGCATTATTTTAAGTAAATCATTTACATAGTGTATTATATTAATGAGTTAATGTGGATATGACAACCAGTATAATTATTATACTTAATAATAAAAAAAATCTAATCCCAAAGATAATCTTATATTCAATATGATGAAATGTGTCAAGAAAATATAAAAATTTTGGGATACTGAGTTTTGTATATACTGGTTACAATATCACGTAAATTCCTAATAGAGTATTCAATCAAATTGATAAACAGTCCTCTCTACGTGTTTTAATATAATAAACCATTAAGTTTCTTACTACATCACAATAATTTAGGTTAAATATTTATAATACATTAATCCACTTATGTTTTGTAGAAAAATAGCAATCACGGCAGTAAATAACACATAATAACACCAAGATTTTTATTGTTTTATTACTTATACATTACATATTACACGCATTATTTATAAATATTTTAAAATCTCTGAATGCTGCCTGTAAAGGAATTGATTTTAAATTGCATTTTGGCTATCCATACATTAGGAATTCGTTTGTGTTTTTTTTTTTGAGAAACTTAATTTCAAAACATTATTTTCAATAAAAGACTGATTTTGTGAAAGTGATCCACATGTATACTTGAAAACTTCAATTATCAACTGCTTATTTATTTTTGTATTTATACATATATTCAATATACGTTTTATTTCCTTTTTCATGATTCGTCAGCCAATATTTTACATGAAAAAATAACAAATGGGAACATTGTAACATATTTTAAATGTAATATTAGTGCATAGATGTAAACAAAATTAAAAAAAACGTATTGAATTCCAAAAATGTTATATTTGGCTAATATAGCGTTTCGTTAGAGATGCGTGGCCTTTAAAACTAATTTGACTGGGACTACAGCCAGGTCTAACAGACTACCTTCTGTTTTTTTAAAATAGACCTTATTACAAACGAATAGAAGATATTTCACAGTAACTCGAAGTAGACATTCTTATTTTTTGGGTTATTGTGTGCTTGGCATATACATTTTAAATCAGTGCGAAATCGAATTATATTTAACGTTATATTTCCTTAGTGGAAAAATTGTAAAAGGCATTTACGTTACATGTAAAGGGCATATATATTTGTTATTTTCAAATATTTACTGTCGGCCTTCTATTTAGATCATGTATCGTGGTAAATAAAGCTAGACAGAGTGTTGCGTTACATTTCAAGCGGCGTCGAAACCAAGCCAAAACTATATTCATCTTATAAGAACACGTACTCACGCATTCGTATGAATCTAATACTACTTGCAACCAAACACATGGTGTTATTTGCATATTTGTGCGTCCTGCAGTAGACTTTAACGAGGTGCTAAAAAAAGAAAGAAGAAAAATGTGTGCGTGAGTGCGTATCAAGAACTTGAGCATGTTTTCGGCGTCACTTGAAATGTTCGTGGTGTTCTGTCTGCCTTACTTTATTGATTTAAGATCGCGGGATTATTTCCTTGCCTTACTTTTTCGGTTTAATGTTAACAATGTTTTTTTTTTGTAAATATTTCTTTAGTTGTACTTTCTAAATTTGTTATTTTTCCAGTGAGATTATTGTCTACAGTCTCCAAATTCATTCGAGGTTTTTTTACATTTATTTATATGTGTATTTTACGTCATTTTAATAGTCGGGGTCGTGGATTGTGTAAAATTTTTATTTTCTGGTAATTTCCGTAACACAAGTCAAATAAAAATTGAAGAAACTAAATAATGGACCATAATATGTCACTGTTTATCCGTTGAAAGTGCATTATTATAAATACCTAAATCTACACTGGTTCGCAAAACTTACTCAGAGATCTTGATTCACAATGATTTCATTACGCAATCTAGACTCTTTTAAACATAATACAATGTATCAAAATTTTCTTCTATCTTCAGTCTCACTGGATGTCTATTCCAAAGCTTATGTTTCATTGCTTAACGCCAAAAAAAACTTAGCTGCAAAACTTCTATTGTTCTGTAAAGGCGTAATACCAATCTCGTTCTATTTAGGTTATTCGGTGACGGCGGAATGTGCGTTTGATTGTCATAGGCATTAGCAGAATTCTGCCAGTTTTAAAATCATGAAAATAACAGAAATCATTATTTATAAATCATGTTATTCAATCAGTGTATATGCAAGTAAACGAAAATCATTTTCTGAATTCTTAAGCGAAAAATATATGAGGTGAGCATTATATCAAGATCATGAACAGATTCCTCCGCCATTATACTCATTTATTAATTAATTATAGAGTTAATGAGTAAATTCCATAATAATAACTATTACTATAAGTGAGCTCTCCCTTGCTTGTAGATGGATTGTTTTAAAGAATGTTACCTGGTATTCTGCAGTTGCAAATTTCTTATAGTCAATGATTTATAGAATTAGGTTATTACTTATAAGAAAAAATACCTTGTTTTTATTATTTATTTGTTTCAATGGAAATTATATAGGTATATTTTTATTATTGTAACCCACATTTACGTTGGCTGTAATTTAATATTGATGTAAATTTAATATATGTATTTTTATTTCAAAACTTGTTTCATTTAAAATAACAAAAATATTTAGGCGTATATCTATTATAGGGCGACCCTCCAGCCCTCTACTAGATGGAGTAACGACCTAGTAAGAGATGCAGGAAGTCGATGGAAACAGGTGGCTCAGGATTTAGCTTTGAGGCATTTCATGGGGAAGACTTATGTTCAGCAGTGTACTTGTGAAGGGCTGTAATCATGACGATGATGATTTATGAATTTATAAATACTACCATGGCGGCTGATAAGTTCGCGGCGTAGGATACTTAACGAGCTTGTTTCTCATGTCAGTAGTTGCAACACTCAACAATATTACAAAAGCAATCACTAATTAAGTTTGCACTCATAGTTCAATTATTTATTGTACAACAAACATCACCATGTCAGCTGTATCTAGAAATTCTCGGAATTTTGAACACCGCGCCGTGATAAAATTCCTTGTAAACAAACAAGGGAAATACACCGAAAGGCATTTTTGAAGAGATGTCCTCGGTTCTTCAGGATTCTGCGCCTTCATATACGATGGTGGAAAATGAGCCCGCATATTACAACAAGGACATGAGAGCTGTGAAGATGACCCTCGCCTGGGCCACGTGTCACGGTACTGACCGATGAAAACGTCCGAAAAGTCGTTCTGGCCGACCGAACAATTAAATTGTGGCAGATTGCTTTATTAAGTGTTGCAGATTGGCAAAAAAAGAGTTGGAGAAATTTTACATGAACATTTGAATATGAGAAAAATAAGCGCGCCGGGAAAATGCTCACATCGCTCAACAAGCAACGTCGGCTCGCAAGTTGCAAAGATTTTTAAAGAGCTAGACAGCGATAACAAGACAGACATTTGGCAACGAATAGTCACCGTAAATGTAATGAATAAAAAAGGAGAAAGGCCGCCGAAGAAATTCGAGATGGAAAAGTCGGCGTCCAAGCTAAAGTTTTCTGGGATAGCGAGGTAATTTTGCTTATCGACGTTTATCGTAGTTCCCTTGAGTAGGTAACCCAGGGGAACTACCATCAATGGCCAATATTACGCCAATTTATTGACACAGGTGCGAAGTGCTGACGCGCGGAGTGCTCTTTCTGCAAGACAATGCGCCCCTTCACACCGCACAACCGCACATGTTGCGAGGCAAGCCCTGAAAGACACGGGGGTCTCAGAGATCTGCACCTAGCGATTTTTTCCTGTTTTTCAATTTGAAAAAGGACTTACGGGGCCACGAAATGAAAGCTAAGGTTGGTATCGTCATTTTAGAAAGGCACAGAATATTTTTTGGGTGGATTAAAGGCATTGTATGCGTGATGTGAGAAATGTATTTCACTTGAGGGAGAGGGAGATTATATTGAAAAATTAAAAATAGTAACCATATATTTTCTTTCATTTAGGAGGTCGCGGACTTACCAGCCGTCCCTCGTACTTACGATTTGCAGGCGGGTTGGCAACTTCAAGTTTTATTATTTCTTGTAGTTATCACGAAGCTGCTGCAGTCCATCTTTCGTTATTTACGGCACCAACGTTTTATATACGTCGTTTTCAGTGTGTTTGTTGGTACTCAGCCCTGTAGCTGGCGACCGTAGAGCATGTTTTTAACAGTGGTATAGCCACGCAGCAGCTTTGTTGTTGCACGTATGGGCCGGCTCAAACCGGGGTGGTACCACGACCTCACAGAATACCGGCGTGAAG